CTTACAGAGAAAAATTCTTTGCATACCTTATGTACCGCCAGGGGTCATTTGACCTCTTATCGTAAGATAGGTATATAGGTAAATGCCGGTACGTTTAATGTTAACAATATTTGTTACATATTTTTTTGCGTTTGTTCCTTTGGTTTAGAGGGACTAATAATTAATTGATACAGAAACGAATGAATTACATGCAGTTATTGAATTTTATATTTTTGTGTTATACATATTCATAAAGTTGAAATTAAATTCATAAATTACAAATTTAGTTACAAATTTCGACAGCATGATATTCAAATTACTACATATAAAAATATGCTAAATATAAAATTTAAATTAAATAATATAAATAAACACTAAACAATACTAAATATAAAATTTTGTATCAAGATTAAGCAAATTGTAATTAATGGTAAATAAAGGAGATTGATATAAACGAAATCAAATTTTTATTATCATCGAATTTTAAAATATAAATTAGTAATTAATAATAAAGAACAAGTAAAGTTCTACTTTTCAGATGAACTTTACAGCCACTTTCATTTTCAAATGATATTTAGAATGGAAGAGTAACATTGAATTGATACTCGAAAATATGAATATGTATTATCTTAATGTACAATTGATATCATTATAAATTTCTTAGAATGACATCGATGTTCAGTTTTTTTAAGCTGGACGTGAATTTAAATTGATAAGAAATTTGTTTCACTTTAAAATCTAAGGAGATGTAAATGAACTTGAGATGTGTAAGGCCTCTGTCTTCTCCTACTTTAAAAGATGAAACAAGTTGAAACTTCGATGGATATGCTACTAAATGTATCTTTATACCATTAAGCACAAAATGAAATATTGATTCTTTGAACAGGTCATATGTCTATTAAATTTATAATAATTAACAGTAGAAAAATTATTCATTCAAATGTAATTATATATATTAACTTATTATCCTTTGTTCTTCAATTAATAAATTAAATGAATAAAATTATAAAAAAATTTCAATAATTAATATAATAATAAATATAATAAAATTATAAGAAATTTCAATATTTTAAATATTAAAAAACGAAAACAGAAATATTGAAAGATATTAATTACGTTTTGTAAATTTCTGCACGAATATTATCTAATATAGAATTTCATCATAGTATATTATATATTGAAGACTAGAATTGAACCAATAATAAATATTATCGATGATTTAATTTCGTTAACTGATATAACTTTTATAAAAAATCCACTTGGTCTCACTAAAGCTTCTACTTTGATAATCTAGACTTGGTTTTTTCCAAAGATGTATCATTCTTCCTAATGATTACTTCTTCGATGTATATTATATATATAACTATACTTACTTTTTGAATATTTCTATTTTCTCTCTTTATTGTTCTTCGTATGGAAAAATATATATAGTGAAGAACATAATTAGACTAACAATGAGAAATTGTCAGTAATTTAAACTGATATAGATTTATAAAAAAAAAAAATTATTTAAAACGTAAAGCCTTTATTTCGACAGTCCTAAATTCGTTTTTTTTAAAGATGATTTTAATGATGCATTGGTTTAATTATGTTCTTCATTATATATATTTTTCCATGCGAAGAGCAATAACGAGAGAAAATAGAAATATTCAAGAAGTAAGCATTTCAATTTAGAAATATTCAAAAAGTGAGTATTTCATTAGCTATAGTACATGTATGTATATATTATATACATCGTTGCCTCGAAGAAATAATGATTGGAAATTATGATGCAAAATTGAAACATTTTAGTTAACTGGTTTTAACAATACTTCTCAATCAAAATAAAAGTGCCCTGCAATAACACAAAATAACTGAAAATATATGTACCCTTCTTACCATTGTTTCTTTCTTTCTCTTTATTTATGAATTATAAATATGATTAAAAAATTTTTTTTACGTAAAAAATTTTTCTTAAAATGTTATCATCTTCTGCAATTATATTATTATTTTTCCAGCACAATAATATTTTCCCTCTTCCCTATTGAATGTGGACACCAAACGAGTAAATTTTCTTCTAAGTAGAATTAATGACTTTCATCCAGTGTGACGATCAGTCCTGACCAGTAATGTCGTATTAGCATTTAACCGGTTAAATTGCACAAAGGTTTTGGCCATTCGACCGTTATCATCGGTTTTCCGCTTCAATTACATAACAGTTTCAGTTCCTTAATTACTTCGGATTTTATCGATCGATTTTAATTAACCAGTTTTTATTTCAATCTAATAAGTTTTAATAAAATTAATTGAAAAAAATGGGATCTCATTGTCTGTCAAAATTCAATGAAAAGAAGCTCGGTAAGAAAATGGACAAATGTTTTTTTTTTTTTTTTTTTTTTTTTTTTGAAACAACGTATAACATACTACTTATGTAGTAGATTGTTTAGTGATTTTGTAAATCTTTATAAGTACGTTTATTATAATAATAACAATGTGTTTTAACGTTTCAGATCATACGGAGTTTTATTAATAGACTGTGGATTTTTAAATGTTCATGAACATAATTAATATGGAACTTAAACAGAAGATCGTTTCTTTTACATAGAATTATAATTAATACTCTTCTTTGGATATTTTATACATTTTTGCATCTTGAAATTTTTCACAAGTGCATAAAAATCACACAATTTATTTATCAGATGTTAATTTTATCACTCAAATGAAAGATGATATCTGTTGCATTATTTTCTCTTTGAGCATCTTAAATTTAAATGAATTTGAGAGATAAATTCGAAGCTAATTTTTAAATTTTCGAAAACTCGAGCCCGAAACTTTCTAAGATTTGGAAACTCGAAACTGATTTAATTGAAACTTGAACTACTAATTTTAGGAATTTTTTGTTCTATGAACTGGAGTTAACAGCTATATACAAATTAAACGAAATATCACAATTAAAAAAAAAAAAAAAAATAAACAAAAATGTAACAACATACAAAGACATCTAATCTACGTTAACATAAATTAAAAAAATTTTATTGATCTCGTTGTCATCGATAATTTTCTACTTAGTTCCGATGTCAAAATTACACATCAGATGTAGTTTACTATCAAGGTAATAATCAATAATTTAACGCTGGTGTAACGTGTATGAATTCGAGATTAACGATAATAATTTATGGACCAACTTTAAACAAGTTTGATCAAAGATAATAATATGCGTGATCACATTAAATTGCAAATATCAATCAGTAAATCTAAAAGAAGTTAATAATACGAGACACCAAAGTCTAGATTGACATGTCACAAGCTTAAAGAACAATTAGAAAAAAGATTCTAATCTCTTTCGTCCATTATGCTTTACCTTTGACATTTCTAAATTTTTAATCCAATATTAAGAACATTACATATTACCAATATCAACAATATTTACCTGCGTAATTTTTAATTAAAAATAATTAAATTTAATTTTAAGTTTTAAATTTAAAAATTTTAAATTTTAATTTTAATTAAAAATAACCATAATTCATATAACATTTGATGCTATTTTTTCTACACTCCTTCTCTCTTTATCTAAAAATATTCAATGTCCTATATAAAATTTATATTATTTTTTATGCATTTTTAGCCAAATTCGCCTAATAAAATATTGAAATAATATACTTGCTGACAAAAGTAAAAAGCAAATTGTCTTGATATGCAAATATGTATTTGATATAGTATTTTTCTATATAGAATGAATCTGCAATGACAATGTTTATAACAATACAACAAACAGTATTATAAATCGGTTTTATTCGTTAATATAAATAAAAGAAATTGTGGAAAATAATGAATAATAATTGAATAAATGGTCATTTCAATGGACCTAATGGACCTATTGTTCTAAAGTATCATTTTTCTCATGGTATAAAATATTAATCAAGTCAGTATTAATGACAACTTAAGTAATGAAAAACTTAATGGAAAAAATTAAAAATATATAAAGATATAATGACTGAATTTTACTTTAGATTAATTTTTCTAATGCACGTGTTGGATTGGTCTATCGGTCTATGAAAACCACGAGCATATTGTTGTTCATTTTATTTATTCACCTGTACTGATTATTCACTGAATTAATTCAATGTCATGCAGCTATGAGGTTTTCAATATTGCATTAAAACTCTGCAAAAATTATAAACATTCATTACCATTGTTTTTATTAAGAATAATTATCATTAATATCGCTATCTCTTAATTTTTGTTGCAAGGATAAGACCTTTCCTTTCAATATTAATTGCGAGTTTTGTAAAAATAGAATTCCGAAAAATACTTATATTCTGTTACTGTATAAGTATTACGTTTTCACATTATTTTCGTTTCCAACGTACCTCTGAAATAAAAAATAGCTTCTTTGAAATATATATATATATATATCAATTATTGAAATATATATATATATATATATATATATATCAATTATTGAAATATATTGAAATATATATATATATAATATTCAAATATATTGAATATAATGAATATTCAATATTCAAAAATATTGAATATAATGAATATTCAATATTCAAATATATTGAATATAATGAATA